AATGAAATATTACTCAACACTAAAAAAATGGGCTATCATTCCATGAAAAGTTATACAGGTACATTAAATGCATATTGCTAAGCAATAAAAGTCAATTTGAAGAATCTGAAAAGTATATACAGTATGATTCTAACAATGACCATCTATAAAAGTCAAAACTGTAGCAGTAAAAAGATCAATGATAATTAGGGATTTTGAGGGAAGGCAAGATGAATAGGTAGAGCTCAGGAGATTTTCAGTTCATTGAAATTATTTTGTAATCTACTGTAACAGTAGATAAATGTCATGATGCATTTACAAAAAAAAAAAAAAAAACCATAGACTGTACCCTGCAAAGTAAATAATTGTGCAAACTCTAGACTTCAATTAGAACTATGTCAATATTGTTTTAGTGAATGTTAAAAATGTACTATACTAAGGAAAGACAATAATAATAAGGGAAACAAGGTCAACAGTAAATGTAGCTTTTGTGAATTTTCTGTACTTGACTCATTTTTCTGTCAAACTAAAACTTCCCCCAAAAAAGCCCAAGAATATTTTAATTTGAAAATAAAAATTTTAATAGGCAATGGGTTTTAATAGACATTAATCCCAAAAAGGAGTACAAGTGGCTAATAAACACACTTAACTTAAAAATGTTCAACATAATTAGCATCAGAAAATGCAAATCAAGATGACAATGAGACATCCCTTTCACATCCACTAAGATAGGTTTAAACAAAAAGTAGATTATAATCATCCAACAACAACTAGAAAATAAATGTTTTAAAAAGGATAATAATAAGTGTTTCCAAGGCTAGGGTTGTGGCTCAGTGGCAAAGCGCTTGCCTAGCATGTGTGAGGCACTCGGTTTGATTCTCAGCACCACATATAAATAAATTAATAAACAAAATAAAGGTCCATTGACAATTTAAGAAAATAATTTTTAAAAATAAGTGTTTCCAAAGATATAGAGAAAGTACAGTGATCATACCCTGCTATGGAATTGTAAAACAGTACAGCTTTGGAAAAAAGATAAAAATTTCAAGATTTCAATCACAGAATCACCATAGGACCCAGAAATTCTACCCCTAGGAATAAACCCAGGACAAATGAAAACAACTGTCCCTACAAAAATCTGTACACAAGTATTCATAGCATCATCTTTATAAAAGCCCCAAAACGTAAACATTCCTAATATTCAGTAGCTGATAGAGAGATAAACAAAACATACCAGATCCATGAATTGAAATATTATTCAACCAGGAATAAGAATGACATACTGAGACATGATAAAATAGGTATTAACCTAAAAAACATTACTCTAAGACATAGAAACCAAACATGAAAAATAATATATTGTATGATTTCCTTCATATGAAAAGTCCAGAATGGGCAAGTCCATACATACCAACAAATATTAAGTGAATTTGTGATTTCCAGAGCATAGTGGGAAAAAAAGGATGGGTACTGATGAAAAAAAGGATGGGTATAGGGTTTCTTTTTGAGATGAGGAAACTATTCTGGAATTACACAGTAGGTGACAGTTTTACAACTCCCGTAACTCAAACCAATTAATTATAAACGTTAAAAAGGTAATTGTACAGTATATGAATTGTATCTGAGTAAAACTGTTATAAAAAATATCAAGGCAGCTGAACACCAACAACAAATACAAAGTTTTAGTGAATCTAATAAAAAAGCAACCTTTGGGAGGGAGACAGGGAGGCAAAGGAGAAACAATGGTGAATGATACTGGCCAACTGTTTTAGCCAGCTTTTTCTCTGATATGAGCAGACCAAAACAATTATATAAAAAATTCTATAAAAGAACCCATCAGAACAATTATAGAGGAGGAAAAGTTTATTTGGAGGCTCCAGGTTTCAGAGGTCTTGGTCCATAGACAGCCTGCTCCATCCTTGAGGCTCAAAGTGAGGCTGAACATCAAAGCAATAGAATGTGGTACCAGGAAGTAGCTCACATGAGGCTCAGAAGGGAGGGAGGGGGGAGAGAGAGAGAGGGGGAGGGAGAGAGAGAGAGAGAGAGAGAGAGAGAGAGAGA